AGGTTGTCCAGTAGTTTAGGTTGTCAGAATTTACGGTTAGGTTGTCCAGTAGTTTAGGTTGTCAGAATGTACGGTTAGGTTGTCCAGTAGTTTAGGTCGTCAGAATGTACGGTTAGGTTGTCCAGTAGAATAGGAAGTTCCAGTAGTTCGCGGGATTTGGTCGGAGTGACTTGAAAAATTGAACAATTAGTTTTTCGCCGTTTCGGAAGATTTGCATTCCATCTTCAGTGTTGGCGAAAAAAAGGATTGTAGACATCAATGTGAATGTTCACTTACACAAATTGATAATTAAGTTGTGAATTACCAAACAAAAGTATTAGTTAACAAATTAATAACAAATGAATTATTAGTTTGTGGAAGTGTAAATTCATATTCATGTTGTCTTTTTTTGTTGCTTGTTTTTATTTCTAGGAGAGATATTTTTTGTTATTCTTTTTATTGTTGACCACGGTAATTTTGAATTCGGGTGTAATTGGGATAAAAAATACTTTGAAAGTTAGAGTATCTCCAATTGATACGCGTTTCTCTGTTCATGATAATGTGATTACTGTTCTTCTCTCCTCCGTGATTCTATTTATTATACAGTCCCCAGTCAATCACCTTTTCTTGCATCAAATGCAACGGTTTTTAGTCGTTGTGGTGGAAGGGACGATACAGTACTAAAATTTTCAGATACTAGACTGAACAAAAAGGTCCGTATGAAAAATTGAGATATATCGAGCGTGAATTACATCTAAAATTTCTTTGCATCAAAATGCAAGAAGAAATCACCTACTTGTTTCAGTTTAAACTGTGTTCTGATAATCAAATAGTTTTTGTTGTACTTTAGAAGCTTCTAAAATTAAATTCATCCTTTTTTCAAAGAGGACAAGAAAATAAATAAAACTAATAATTCCTACTATAACTGGACACCGATTTACCATTAAAGCATATTAAATTAATGATATAAAACGAGAGTTTAAACCCATTAAACTAAGCAAATATGGATGTGTACCACATTTCAAAAAAGGACAAACTCAGAGACTGAAGTTATTGAAATTCCCTTTCTATCGTTTCAAAATCATATCCAGAATGACATAAAATAAACATGTGCGGTTTTGTTTGAAAAGAGGAACACAAAAGCTTTGTGGATGCAGGGAAAAGAATTTATTTCATATAAGCAAAAGCAAAATTAAATACGAGTTTCATTAGCTTTGTAAAACAAACGCTTAATTAAAGTGAATATCCAATAACTGCAACCCGAATCGATTCTCAGTTCAATAGTTCTGTCTGCATTGGTGAGGTATTTGCTGATGATGAAATCTTATTAATAATCTGTTTCATATGCAGAATGCTTGCATGCGCAATGCATTACGGTCTGGAATATTGGTGAAATTCGAGTACATTATCGATGTGACGCATTACCCACATTGAGGCTCACCAACAGCTAGATTGGCTACACATTGCAGGGAGCATCAATTGTTTCGAGTTTCCAGATCTTTCTAAAAGTTGGTAAATTTGAATGAAATAATACGTGTTATATTGATATAAATATTGCATAATTTGAATAAAATAATGCATATTTCTTGTTAATTTTCTAAGCTGCTGCTCAATAACTTTTTCTGCTTTCTCTCCAACCGAACGATATATCAGTAATTTAAGCAATTTTAATTGTTATAAATTTATAATAATTCAATAATTAATTATTTATCATTAAATAATACATGGAATAATAATTATCTTTCTGTGATTGAAAAGCTAAAATAGGTAGTTAAATTAACTAGTCTCCCTATTTCTAATTTATAGTTCCAATTTTGGTCCTGAAACTTCGGTTCTATTTTGCGCACATCATGCGGTATATACTGGGTGAACTCATCAACATTTTTTGTTTGAAATACAACAACCCAACCATTTGTGACATTTTCAAATGCTAATTCATTTTATTTCTCATTCTCTCACTACTTTTTTTATCGTATTTACAATTGAAAAAATAAACTTATATACGTTCAGTGGTCCCCAAAATCATCCCTCTACCGGGGGTTTTATATTTATTGAGAATGCAATCCATATGTGCCATCCTTTCATCAATTGTAACATCCTAATACATATTTCTTCGCATAATTGTCGGTCATTCCAGACAGAATAAGTCTAATTAATCTAGGTGTGCAGTCACGCTGTCATCTCCCACTTCTCTCTTCAGACTCTTTCTGCCTTTTTCGCTTTCCCCTGTGACTTTATTTCCACATATTTCCAGCCGAGCTTGAATTATGAGGCATCCAATAGGCATTTTGGTAGCCATTGTGCTAGCCCCCATATCACTGGGACCGGCGCAAATATCAACAATTTACTATTTTTTACTATTAACTACTTTTACTGATTTTAACTATTTTGACTCGTGCAAACGTACCAAGCTTTCTATTTTTATTTGTTGTTGTGAAACTAGTTTTATATGGACTGGTACTCATACCCAACTTCGCACGGTCAGGCTCTGAACTGTGCGGTCCACCCTGAAGGCCTGATACTGAGCGAGGATAACCAATCTAAGATTGCTAAGCTTTCATTAAGAAACATAAGCCACACCATCCGCGCTATGTATCCAGAAGAGCAAAACCGAAAAATGTAATAGAAAGTAGTTGTTTGGTTAACTAGTAGAGA